AGGAAGGGACAGAGCACCTGCTCTGTCATAGCTGCGTGTTGGCCTGCCGGCTGGCAACAAGATTCTTTTTTTCGCGTGAAAAATTTTTTTTTTTTCTTGACGCCGGAGTCATGCTGCTGTCCCCACGGCTGGAGTGCAGTGGCGCGGATCTCGGCTCCGCTGCAAGCCTTCGCGCGGCTTCACGCATTCTCTTGCCTCAGCCTCCGAGTACCTGGGACTCACAGCCGCGCCACCACGCCCGCTAATTTTTTGCTATTTTTTTTTACGTAGAGAGGGGTTTCAGCGGGTTAGCCCGGATGGTCTCGAGTCGTCCTGACCCTTGTGATCCGCCCGACTCGGCCTCTATTAGTGCTTGGTATTACAGGCTTGGAGCACCGCGCTCCGGGATTCTGTTTTTTGGAGGTTTGTGTAGTCTCTGTCTGTCACCCAGGCTGGTGGCAGTGCTGGTTCGGCTCACTGAAAGCCCGCTGTGCGTGGTTTGTGTTGTTGGAGCCATGTGTCCTCAGCTCCGACGTTAGGCTTAGACAGGCGTCCGCTCAACCCGCCGGGCTAGTTTTCTGTATTGTTTTGAGTAGAATGTGTTTGGTTGCCGTGTTAGGCCAGGATTGTGTTGACTCACGATCCGCTCTGTTGGCCTCCAAGTTTGTGTGGGTTGATAATTGCCACCGCCCCCAAGTTCTTTGTTAAAAGTTTTTGTGCGCGGCTCATCCTGTAATCCAGCACTTGTAGCCACATGCAAGCACGGAGTCAGGAGTTCAAGACCACTGGCGCCAAATGGGTGAACCCATCTCTACTGAAAAAATAGATTAGCAAGGTGGTTGCCTAGTCCCAGTATCGGGCTGAGCGGAGGAGAATCGCTTGACTGGCGAGCAGAGGTCTGCAGTGAGCCGAGATCGGCACTGCACTTCAGCCTGGCAACAAGAACAGCAAACCCAAAAAAAAAAAATATTTTTATAGTATGTGGTCTGTTCTACCCAGGCTGGGAGTGCAGTGGTGCGATCATGGCTACCAATATCCTATCCGAGTGATCCATGGTCTGTACCACACACCATCTGTGTGTGTAGTGTGTGAGAAAAAAGGAATTGCATCACGTAGTCACAACCGCCTGGTGTGTGTGTGGAGCAGGTTGTGATCAAAGCATCCTGATTGTTGTAAACGTGTGTTAAAAAAAAAAAAAAAAAAAAAAAGATGTTACAAAAAATTATCCGGGGCATGGTGGCTCACGCCTGTAGATTTCCAGGCACTTTGTGAGCCAAGTGAGGGTGGAGGACTTGAGTCAGGAGTGTTGAGGCCAGTGGTATAAGTGGACCCACTCTACAAATACAAGAATTAGCTGGGCATGGTGGCCACTCGCTTGTAATCCAGGGTGACGCTTTGATGTCCAGAATTGTGTTGAACCTGGAGTGTTGTAAGCTGCAGTGACAGGATCAACCCACTGGCGCACTCCGGCCTGGGCGACAGAGTGAGATCTCGCTCAAAAAATAAAAGATAAAAAAATTGGCGGAAGCAGGCGTGCTGGGTGCTCACGGGTGATTCCAGTATTGTTTAGAGGCTGAGTGGCAGGATCACTGAAGCTCAGGAGTTTGAGACTAACCTGGGCAACATAGTGAGGTGTCCCTGGTCTTTTACAAAAAATAGAAATATTAGCCGAAGCCATGTGGTGCAAGGGCTGTGGCCCAGGCTACTAGAGAGATGAGAAGGGAGGATGAGCCCAGTATAGATAAGTGAGGCTGCAGTGAGTGATTACGCCGACTGCACTCTAGCCGTGTGGTCAACCGCCAATTGTGCCAAGAGCCCCCGGTAGTCTAAAAAAAAAAGTAATTTTTGTTGTTCTTTTTTTTGTAAACGGGGGTCTCACGGGGTTGCGCCAGGCTGATCTTGAACTCCTGTGCGAAAAGAATCCTCCCGCCTCGAGTCCTTCAAAGTCCTGTTGCGAAGCTGCCACTGCACCCCCAGAGAATTCTGAGCTGGATTGTAACACAGAAGGTATCGAGGCTCCCTCCCTGGCCTGACTTCTTGACCCAATAACCATGGCCCAGCCTCCATCACTCACGAGATCGAAGACAACATCAGCCCTGCTGGGTTCCCGTCTCACTCGGGCTGAAAAGCTAAAACCTCTGTGGGTCTACAGGCCCCCCCACCTGAACTCCTGCCCCACTCTCCCTATTTTCTCCCCTGTTCACCATCCTTCAGCCTAACTCTCCTCAGACAACAGGAAGCTTCCGCCGCTCCCTTCACACCTGTATCTCTGCTGCAACACTGCCCCAGATATCCACGTCGTGTGGTCCTCCTTCATAATTCAGCTGCGCAAACCACCGCAGAGAGTGTCTCGCGGTCCTGAGCAACACTCTACTTGTCAGAGTCGCAGAGCTGATTGAGAAATTGGGCCAGTCGCGCGGCCTCGGGCTCCTCTATCAAAGGTCTCCTTCTCTCACCTTGGCCTTGTGGTCTTGGAGTTGGGAGCTGACAACACCCCTTCTGCCCCAGGTGAATCAATGAACAAGGCTGACATTGTGAGAACACCAAGCGTCTGTCTTCTTCCCCCTCCTGGCTTAGCTCCTCACCTCCCTTGGGGTCGGGGCATCTCCTCTTTCTCCAGGAAGGGGAAGCCAAGTCCTGTGCTGAGAAGGTGACTCTGGAACTGCCACTCCCATGCCTGTGTGACTAGCTTCTGGGTGGATCTCAGGGTCTACCGTTGGGCTGGGGGTGGATGTCATCTGGCCACTGGCACCCAGACTGCAAGTAATAAAAACCTGACTCACACTGGCTCTACCAACAAGAGGGGATTTGTTGGTTCACTGAGCTGAAGTCAGTTAACATGGCTGACTTCAGATGTGGCTGGATCCAGGCGCTGAAAAATGACAGAAAGCATTTGCCTTCTCAGCTCCTCTTCTGTCTTATTCTCAGGTTGTTTCTCCCCGTCACGGTGACAAAATTGTGCCCTGAAGCTTCAGATAGATATTCTCTCCTTTTTTTTTTTGAGACCGATTCTGGCTCTGTCACTCGGACTGGAAGGCAGTGGTGCAATCTCGACTCACTGCAGCCTCCGCATTTCAGGTTCAACACAGGCACTTGCCACCACGCCTGGCTAATTTTTGTATTTTTAGGAAAGACGGGGTTTCACCATGTTGGCCAGGCCAGTCTCGAACTCCTGACCTCATGATCTTCCCGCCTCGGCCTCCCAAAGTACTGGAATGACAGGCATGAGCCACTGCACCTGGCTTTTTTTTTTTTTTTTTTAATGAGACAAGGTTGTCCAGACTAGAGGGCAATGGCACAATCATAGCTCACTTCATCCTCAAATTCCTGTCCTCAAGTGATCCTCCCACCTCAGCCTCCTAAGTAGCTGGGACTACAGGTGCGCATCACCATGCCCAGCTAATTAAAAAAAAATTATTTTAGAGATGAGGGTCTCAAAATGTTGACCAGGGCCGGACATGTCTTGGGCGTGGGTTTCCAAACATCCCACTGCTGTCACCCTGTCTCATTCCCAGGAGTTCTCTTAGAAAGAGAGACAAAAGGCTGGGCGCGGTTTCACACCTGAAATCCCAGTGCTTTGGGAGGCTGAGGCAGGTGGATCACAAGGTCAAGAGATTGAGACCATCTTGGCCAACATGGTGAAACCCTGTCTCTACTAAAAATACAAAAATTAACTGGGCATGGTGGCTTCTGCCTGTAGTCCCAGTTACTCAGGAGGCTGAGGCAGGAGAATCGCTTGAACCCGGGAGGTGGAGTCTGCAGGGAGCCGAGATCACTCCACTGCACTCCAACCTGGGAAACAGAGCAAGACTATGTCTCAAAAAATAAAAATAAAAAAGAGGAAAACATGGTGAAAACCACCTAACCATCTCATCCATCTTTTTCCCCTCTAATCTGGACATGGTGGCTCATGCTTGTAATCCCAATACTTTAGGATGCTGAGGTAGGTGGATCACCTGAGGTCAGAGCTTAAGACCAGCCTGACCAACGTGGTGAAACCCTATCTCTACTGAAAATACAGAAATTAGCTGGGCATGGTGGTGTGCGTGTATAATCCCAGCGGCTTGGGATGCTGAGGCAGGAGGATCATTTGAACCTGGAACGCACAGGTTACAGTGAGCCAAGACAGTGCCATTGCACTCCAGCATGGGCGACAGAGCAAGATTCTGTCTCCAAAAAAAAAAAAAAAAAAGATGTTGACCAGGCTAGTCTTGAACTCTTAACCTCAAGTGATCCTCCCACCTCAGCCTCCAGAGTAGCTGGGATTACAGATGTGAGTCACTATGCCCAGCATGAGCCACAGAAGGCTTCTGAACACTTACTGTGCACCAGGAACTGTCCTCGGTCTTGCCCTCCTGCAGTTGACATTCCAGGCAGATGAGGACAGATGATAAACATGAAATCCAACATATATTCAACCTGCCAGCAGGGCACCAAATAAAATCCACCTGGGTGAGGATGTCATTATTTGAAGTAGAGCAGGGCGACTGGCCCAATGTTCTAATGGTCAGCCCTCTGGACTCTGAAGTAGAGTGTTGCAATCAGGGAAGCCCTCTCTGAGGAGGTGGCGTTTGAGCAAAGAACTGAATGATGAGGAGGAGCCAACCACGTGGATATCTGGGGCACGTGTTGCAGGCAGAGGATACAGGCTGTGCAAAGGCCACGAGGCTGAAGCTTCCCTGGTGTGTCTGAGGAGCCCAGTATGGCTGAAGGATGGTGAACAAGGAAGAAAATAGGGAGAGGTGGGGCAGGGAGTTCACCAGGATCGTGGGGGGCCTGGTAGACCACAGCAAGGATTTTAGCTTTTCACCCGAGTGAGACGGGAACCCCAGCAGGGCTGATGTCCTTTTCTGATCTCTGAGTGAGGAGGCTGGGCATGGGTTATGGGTCAAGAAGCAGGAGGGAGGAGCCCTCGATAGCCTTCTGTGTTACCATCAGTCAGAACTTTCCTGGCCGGGTGCAGTGACCCACGCCTGTAAGCCCAGGACTTTGAGAGGCTGAGGCGGAAGGATTCTTTCAGCCAAGGAGTTCAAGATCAGCCTGGGCAACATAGTGAGACCCTGTCTCTACAAAAAAAAAAAAAAAATTATTTTTTTTTTAGATAGGGGTCTTGCATTGTTGACCAGGCTAGAGTGCAGTGGCGTAATCACAGCTCACTGCAGCCTCCACTTCCTGGGCTCAATCAATCCTCCCTTCTCAGTCTCCCTAGTAGCTGGGACTACAGCCTTGCACCACCATGCTTGGCTAATATTTCTATTTTTTGTAAAGACAGGGACTCACTATGTTGCCCAGGTTAGTCTCAAACTCCTGAGCTCAAGTGATCCTGCCACTCAGCCTCCTAAAATACTGGAATTACGTGAGCCACCGCACGCCTGACTCCGGCCAATTTTTTTATTTTTATTTTTTTGGAGACGGAGTCTCACTCTGTCGCCCAGGCTGGAGTGCAGTGGTGTGATCCTGGCTCACTGCAGCCTCTACCTTCGAGGTTCAAGCAATTCTGCCTCAGGCTCCCTAGTAGCTGGGATTACAGGCGTGTGCCACCATGCCCAGCTAATTTTTGTATTTTAGTAGAGATGGGGTTTCACCATGTTGGCCAGGCTGGTCTCAAACTCCTGACCTCAGGTGATCCACCCTCCTTGGCCTCACAAAGTGCTGGAATTACAGGCGTGAGCCACCATGCCCGGCTAATTTTTTTTTTTTTTTTTTTTAAAGTAAGAAGGGGTTTCACAGTGTTAGCCAGGATGATCTTGATCTCCTGATCTGGTGATCCACCCACCTCGGCCTCCCAAGGTGCTGAGATTACAGGTGTGAGCTACCGTGTCCGGCTAATTTTTTTTTTTTCTTAATTAGCAGGGCCTGATGGCATGTGCTGGTAGGCTGAGGCAGGTGGATCACTTAAGCTGGGGAGGTAGAGGATATTGTGAGCCATGATCGCACCACTGCACTCCAGCCTGGGTGACAGATGGAGACCCTGTCTATAAAAACATTTTTTTTTTTTTAATGTCTGACACAGAGTGTCACTCTGTTGCCCAGGCTGAAGTGCAGTGGCCCGATCTCGGCTCACTGCAACCTCTGCCTCCCAGGCTCAAGCGATTCTCCTGCCTCAGCCTCCCGAGTAGCTGGGACTACAGGC